TGGGGCTAACAACAGGAGCTCACCCCACTTTGTGGATTTGAACCGCTGACCTTCCAATCAGCAAGTTCTGCAGCTTAGCAGTTTAACCCGCTGTTCCACTGCAGCTCCTTAATAAAGATTAAATTATTATTAAAAACCACCTCCAACTAACAGATTTTGTATGTTATATTTCCAGGTACATTATTTAACCAAATGCCAGGACAGTTTATTACTTGTATTTTCTTCATTAGTTCAGGAAAACAGCAAAATATTATGAAGACATATTCTCACATTTTCATTTCTCTGTCACAACATGCTAATAAATACTGAGAAGTCAGTTCTAAAAATGCCAGATTCTTTGCAAATTTGTCAATGTTCCATATGATGGCATGATCGTAACTAGTGTGCCTCTGTGGAGGAAGAAGACAGAAATGCATCCAACCAAAGATATATAAGCTGCAATGACACAATAATCATCCTCTCCATAAGAAATGTAATGCAGTCACCTTCACATGTAGTTTTAAAAATGTACCACCAAATAACTGTCTAGGCTTTTATACTTATTAATGAAGAATAAAACAGCAAAACTTGATAACAGAATGATGGTAACAGATGTGACAGTGTAGGTTTTCTCTATGTCATTCAAGAAGACTGACACATTACACTTCATTTCCAGACCTATTTCAGCTGTACTCTGCATTGTATGTAATGATGACAACTGTTGCAAACGTGGCAACAGTAAACTGAAACAGTGTGTGCTGGTCAAGCATCTAAAACCTATTGATGGCATAATCTTAAGGATGTGCCAGCAAGCACTACTTTTTTATTTGAAGCTAAATTCTGCTAACAGAAGGACTACACTTGATATATCATGCTATAGTTTAGGCACTGCATTTTAGATTCCTTCCACACAGCTGAATAAAATCCCACATTTTCTGCTTTGAACTGGAATATATGGCAGTGTGGACTCAGATAATCCAGTTCAAAGCAGATATTGTGGGATTTTCCGCCTTGATATTCTGGGTTATATGACTGTATGGAAGCACTCTCAGATGCACATCCCCTTCTCAAGGGACCTTTGGTACCTTCCTAATCTGTGACACAGGCCAAATGTTAAGGTCTCAAAATTAGACCATTCAATACCATCCTCCTTCTGCTTTTTAGGACAACTATACAAGCATTTTAACAGGGAAATTGCAATACAGACATGTTATGAACAATATTGGTTCCATAGAGTTGTTCTTAAGTTGAATTTGTATGTAAGTCTGAACAAATACATTTTTAAGTGTAACTCCGGTAATAATTGGATTTTAAAATATGCGGCTTATTGTGGAAACAAGCTTCAGTGGAGACCCCTTTTCCCCATGACAACTCTTTCAGGAGTGACTGAAAAGTCAAAGTATGGCTTTCTGTCTGTTTATTCCACAAAGACTGTTGATGGGTGAAGTGGCCCATTGTGATGTCATTGGATTGGCTCTTTCTGGGTGGACCTCTGGGATGTCACTGGGAAATATGATGACATGTGTATGAGGGGAAGGGAGGGAGAAAGGAAAGAAAGAGCCAGGAAGAGAGCCATGTTGCCGTGAAGACATTGTGAAGTAGACTGGAGAAGGGAGAAAGAGGAAGCAAGGAAGGAAGGAAGGAAGGAAGGAAGGAAGGAAGGAAGGAAGGAAGGAAAGGAAAGGTATGAGTGCAGGGAAGGAACTTCTTTTGAACTATTTTTTCTTCTACAATACATAGTCCAACTATGTAACAGAAGTGTAATATACTTATTGAGAACACGATTCTGTGCATTTTTTGAAAAACCGTAACATTTTGGAAAATGGCATTCATAACCTTTTGGAAAACCAGGAATCTTTTGGAAAAGCATGACCTTGTTTAAGATTGTAACCTTTTAAAAAGTATTATCTTCCTGTAAAGAGTTTAAAAAGTGCCAGAGTCAACCTTCTCTTCAGTAGTAAATATCCACTAGTATTCATGCAAGACACTTACTTAGGTTTCTCAGCTGCTAAACTGATATACCTAGATATCTATTTGAACTATTAGGAACAAAGATATGCCAACGCACAAAAAACAGGTGTGTTCAGGAGTGTTCTTTTCAGTTGCCCAAAAAGCATTTACTCTCACTTAAAATATCTTGGTTTAAATCATTCTCTCAAGATACTAAAAAAAGTAGTCTTCTTTAAAGTAACATATTCAGCATACATGCAACACTGCATATCAATTACAGACAGGATTTGAAGTAGTTTTTCTGTGCAGATAACACAGGGCATCTTTCTTATAATCAACAGTTTAAAGTCTAAAGCATCTCTCTAGCCTCAGAGTCCAATAGAGTCTCTTCTCTAACGGATTCTGCTTCAATGGACTTCTAAACTGTACTCATGAAAACACACTGACTTCTAAAATAGAGTCTGAGTCTGAACAATCCTAGATCTGGTCATATGGTGTGCAGCCACTCCCACAACACAGTTAAGTAAACTGCATACCAATATACACATATATGATATGGCAATCAATCTGAATTATATACATGACAAATAACTAGTTTAGGAGACTCGAAGGAGGTTGCTATTTCCAAAACATATCTTCCCACTGATTTCAAAGGGATTTAATTTCAGGTAGGAATGCATCCTTAATAGAGACCTGGCCAAAATACCCACTGCCACATATTACAGAGTCCTTCTAAGTAAATATAAACAAGCTTGTACTGTAAATTATTTAACAAGAAGTTTGTATGACAGTAATATATTTTTGTGCGTATGTGTGTTCAAGTTGTCTGTTGATCTTGGCAACCTCGTGAATTTCATAGGGTGTTCTTAGACAAGGAATACTCAGGGGTGGTTCTGCCAGTTCCTTCCTCTGAAATAAACCATATACCACCTTGTATTCTGTGACAGTCTCTCATTCAAGTACTAACCAGAGCTGACCCTGATTAGCTTTCAAGATCAGATGGAATCTGGTACCCCCAAAGGAATTACTATTACTATTACTACTACTACTACTACTATTCTGTTAAAATTCCTGTGCTCTATCTTGAATTATCAATTTTGCATATGTACAAATATACAATACAGCTATATTATGAATTGTACTTATGCACAATTGACAATTAAAAACTGAGCACAGGAATTTCAATGTAAAACATACTATTTCAGGACATTGGTTCTATTAGGGTTGCTAACAAATCATGGAAAACTCACTCAATGCCATAGAAAACCTATTAAAAACAATAGTCTAAAATGTAAACAGAAAAATCAAGAACTTTTATGTAGCGAGAACTGAACAACAGAGTCAAGTAAACATACTCCA